TCTTCCCCTTCCATACCAGCTATCATCGACCAAATGCCCTCCGCTTGAACACCGAATCAAGGAAGACTGGTATGGTTCTCCATTAGCAAATATGTCGCCGTCCGGTCCGTTGACCAGGTCTTGGACCGGATCGCAGTCAGCTTGTGATTGGTGGTCAGCTTCAAACTTCGTCAGCTGACTTGGTGTTGAATCGCTGACTCCGCCGAGCTCAGCTCGCCGAGTTTCCGACTCGGCTTCAGCAACAGCCATTCGTGCAGCAAACAACTGCCATCCTCCGTTTGGTTGAACATATCCCCATAGAGCGTTGTCAATCAGTCGTTGGTAGATCATAGGCGCATTCTTCAATCCAAACGGCATTCGTAACCATTCAAAGTGTCCAAGCGCACAGACGAACGCTGAGATCTGCCGAGCTCGGCGTGTCATCAAGACTGCCCAGAACCCACTCGCAGCATCGAGCGAGCAAAATGACAAGTAGCTCTCCAATTCGGTAAGCAGGTCATCAACCAGTAGCATAGCGTATTCCATCGGTGTCGTAACCGCATTAACCAGTTTATAGTCAGTGCATAGCCGAATATCCACACCATTTTTCTTGAGCACTATCACCACTGGCGAGGCTAAAGGGCTGCCCGAGAATGATATCAACCCAGCTCGAAGCAGCCCCTTCAACAACTCGTAAAGTTTGCTCAAGTGGCGGAGAGGTATCCGCCGAGCTCTCTGCTTAATGGGTGCGTGTCCTTGAACGTCGATGTCGCACAATGCTCGGTACGCTGGAGGCGGCAGGGCATTACCACTTGAAATCATTATCCCTTCGTGCTTTTGTAGTTCTGCCACCAATTTAGCCGACTGTGCCGGCGTATGACTACTCGACTTGACGTTTGCAGCGCCATAGTCGAGTTCGGTAGGCTCAACTTCAGTGAGGTCGGGAAGGAAGGCCAGCTCGTGAGCGTAGTCCGTCAATTCCAGATCTGTTCCACTACGCTCAAAGGCGTTGGTCGTACCATCGTCAACATCATCCTCTTGCTCGTCTTCGGTCGCGGCTATAGCCAAATAGTGTTGTCTTAAAGTCTCAGTCGGGTCTCCCGTCGAGTTGCATTCATCATCGTTGGCTTGTCCTAAGCCGTAGTCAATTCCGCCGGGGTCAAACACCGTCGCCGCTGAGTTCGTTACTTCGACCTCAGCTATAGTACCTTCCAACAGTGATACCTCTGGTAAATCATAGCTGTCGTCCACGTCAGGCCCGTATTCGCTGAGTTCACTGCGATGGGCCAATCTTACTCCTTCGTGCTCAAACTTGTCTCCGAGGTAGATGGTATCATCGTCATGCTGTCTAACCCCTTCCGAACCGGTTTCAGCCTCCATAGTTTCCAACGCTGAGTCCGTTGTAGCTGGGTCGTCGTTCGGCTTTATTCCTTCAAGTAGTAATACCTCCCGACTATCATAGTCCTTGGTCGCGTCGGAGTGCTCATCCGCTGAGTTTGTTGTGACGGCAGAACTGACTTCCGTGCGTGCAAACCCGCCCTTAGTATAACTGACATCCTGGCGACATGATGTGGCCCCGTCCCAATCACTCTCGGTGTTTAGATCTGCTGACGCCGAGTCCACCGCCCCTGACTGGATAATGCAGGCTTCCGGCGTACCCATCGCTGAGTTCACCACGGCT